CCCCTGACCCCATTTGCAGAACCTAAGACAGAGGTTTCATGCAGGGAAAGGCTGTCTGAAGAAGAGTTCAGCTTGCAAGTTGCAAATCATCCCTTCTGGGCTGGCAGCTGACTGCTTCCACCAAAGTTGTTGATTCACTCCTCCTCATCCAGCTCTTTTTAAGAAAATTGAAACTATACAGGTGGTGAATAAAGAGAATGGTTCTTTTGCTTGGATTGAACCTGCTTCACCTGAGAGTCCAATCTAGTGGATTTTGCTGCTTTTCTGTCACAGTTAAATCAATCTGTATTAGGCAGGACCTGACTTGGCATATTTTAAATGAAGCATTAATTTTTTTTAGTGAAATCAGATACAAACTGAGAAAGAGTGCCTATGAATGTTCTGATTTTAACTCTTCCTGATTTTATGTAAGATTTCATGTAAGAAAAAGGTACCATATGATTCTATTTTATGGACAGCTTACTAGATTTTCCATGCAAATGACCACTGAACTTTCAGATCCTCCTCACCTGAGGCAAGATTTTGTCATCATGTGTTGATGCCTCTTAGACCCAGTTTGGAGCACAATAAATTTTGGTGATTCTTTGGTCTGTGGAACTTCTGCCATGGGCAAAGCTATCCAAAAAAGACAGATGGACGGACGCACGGACAGACAGACAGAAAAGTGTCTGTGCAAATATTGATCCAAAGAAGAGGATTAGAGGTGCTCAGATGTATTAGATGGCCCCCTGCCCTCCCCAAATATCTCTCACAATCCCAATGTGAGAACAATCTTTTACATACTTATTCAGAGCTGTTTCTTGTGGATGACCAAAGACTTTTAATAACATTCACAAGAAAACTTAAAATGCCTTCAAGTTCAACAATGTATCATGGAGAATGGGAAAGTACTGAGTAGCCATGGAGAGATTAAGACTATCTTTGTGCTTTCTCAACCTGCACAATTTCTGTCTGTCAGTGAAAACATTTTATGAAGCACTCTTACATATGAGAGCCAGTGTGGTGCCGTGGTTAAGAGCTTGGGACTGGGACGCGGACGATCTGGGTTCTAGTCCTCGCTCAGCCATGGAGCCAACTGGGTGACTTTGGGCCAGTCACAGACTCTCAGCCCAACCTACCTCACAGGGTTGTTGTTGTGGGGATAAGATGGAGGAGGAGAATGATGTAAGTTGCCTTGAGCCCTTTGTAGGAAAAAGGCAGGATATAAATTGAAAAATACATAAATAAATGTCTACTTAGAGGTAGGCCCCCATGAGTTCAGTGGGATTTACTGCCAAGTAAGTGTTTAGAGGACCGCTGCCTTAAACATGTATTGCAAATGCAGAATGAGGGAGGGCAAAGTCAAGGACCTTGTTAGAGCTACCTGTATGGGTCTCACTATGCCATCCCGAATATATGCTCCTGGCTTTGGTTAACGGACTGGAGCGCAGAGGCACTAGGGCTGGCAAAATAACATATATTTGACTTACATACCTAGGAATTAGACAGCATAGCTGAAAGACTCATTAACAGAAGGAGTCTCGGGAAACTGTCGCTTAGGTATGTTCATAGGTCCTTACATAGATACATGGATAGAGATTAATAATATCTTTTCATAAATTCTGTAGCAACTAGACTTCAAAGCTCTGGCTGCTTATATATTATCAGTTTTAACAGAGAAGATGGGAGAACAGATGTTCTCTCCCTTGGCTTTCCTTCGCAGGCCAGAATTTTTTTATTATTTTATTTTTCTGTGGTGTCTTCCTGTTCTCTAGCCTCCAATAGAAAAATACTTAGTAACAATAAATGTGATCTTCAAATCCAGCAGTGCCATAGGAATGGTAGATATGCCTGATACTTAGGAATGGAACGTGGATACATGCCCCACTGCCCTCACCCCCAAGAGCCCCCTCATGGATCTCACAATGTTATCTTTGAATGTTCACTTCATTTCATTTGGGTGCATTGACTCTCTGCAGGAGTGAATATATGTTATTGGGGAACAAAAAATGCCACATACATGTTAAATAGGTGTACATCACTGATCTCTCCAAGATAAAGGCCAGCTCACTGCCTCTCGTTCCCAGGAAAGAACTCAGTTTTTTTTGTGCCATACCTTTCAACTCTTCAGTCTGCACCTCTCCATATGCTCACAAGTTAGAAATATTTCTGTTTTATTCCTAATTGCACTCATATTCCATTCTGCTTCCAAAAGCCTCAGAGCATCCCATCTACAGTTGCCAGGAGTGTTCACATCCAGGCAGAATACCAGGCTAGGGTGGCTCACTTTCAGGAAAAGAGCTCCACCACGTCACCTCAAGTCACTCTCAGCATTGGTAACAATCCTGATGCTGACCACAGGGCTGGGTATTGCTCTGTTTTTTTCCAGTAATAGTAAAAGAAAAGGAGTGGAAAGGATCTGCCTTCAGCTTGCATGGATCCCCACATTGCTGATTTATAATAATATTCATATTATAGGTTTGCCCTCCACTTTTGCAGACATCCATATTCAGCACAGAAAAACATTATTCTGTGATGAGACTAGGATAATTTGCTTCTTAAATGCCATAATAGCCAGGTGTTTTTGGTGGGTGCATGTACTCCAGGCCAGGATCATATTAATGAACTCATCCCATGCAACTTTTGCTTGGCATCAGAAGACATTAAACATTCTTGGTGTCATGAAGGAATATTATGGGTCGTCTGATGGAATCTCTCACTTGTGATGGCAATCATAATAAAAAAAGGATTTTTCTTGTATTCAGCAATGACTTTTCCCCAAATGTTTATGTGCTCAGTTCCTATGGACAAATAGCCCTCTAGTATATTAATGACAACAAAGGTTCTTGATAGGTTCTTGGCCAGGTCAAAAGCAGCAGCCAGCCAGATCTGGGGCAGGGAGCCTGTGACTGGCACCCTGCAGAGTGCTGCCCTTCCCAGTCTCAAGAGAAGGTGCTTTCAAAGCACACCCTGCCGAGTGAGCCGTTGTGGCTGAGAGACAGAGGGTAGAGGGGCAGAGAGAATGGCAGGGGAAATGCTGCTGCCACCGGAATATGGCCCCTGGGTGATTATCCCGAGGGTGTGTGGCCCTCCAGCAAGCCACCTCCCTGCAACATGGAGACTCATTAAGCTAGTTTAGTCCAAGGCCACAGATCATAAGTTTCACCAGTGTGCTCTGAGACAACGACACAATGTGTGTGTGTGTGTGGGGGGGGGTTGATTTGTTCATTTGCAGCATTTGACCTACCTCTTCCACCAAACGAGTGTGCCAGCATAGCATTCCCAGCAGCATTGAACAAGGAGTCCCCACCTTCAGGCTTGGGGGGCCCTACACACTCTCCTGGAAAGCTGCACGCAGAGGGGAGGAGAGTTGGTTCCACCAGCAGCCTGCCCCCCAGCATTCTACTAAGGCTTTTAAAAGCCACCTTTGGCACAAAGGGAAGCATTAAAACAGCTTAATTTCAACAGAAAGGAGACACAGTACAGGTTGGGAAGCCACCATCCATCAGCTGGAAGTTCCCATCCCCTGGTTTAGAAGGGCTTTGAAGCTCAGAGTACAGATTCCTTGGACCCAAGGCCTGCATTAAGGTAGCAATAAACTCCAGCAAGAGCAGTGCTCACTTTCTGGGTGGGCTAGAGGGGGCCTATTTCCTTTTTGTGATTGCATCCTTATGTTTAGTGCTCTGTAGGTAGGCGTGATTTGGCTAAAATAGGATAGTTGGGGTGGAGTGAGGATTTCATGAAGGGCTTCCCGATGTTCTCCTCTCCCTCTCTAGTTCACTGGGCAAAAGTTTGACATGGCCATTGCATGGGCAAGGGATGTCCGGGTCTGATGAAATTTCAGGAGCTGTGTCACAACATCAGGGCCAGCATGGAAGAGCCTTTCTGATAATACCGAAGGGTGATGATGCCATCCCACTCCTGCCCTGCGCATGCCCTACTACCATGCACCCCACTGCTAAAGGATCCCTTCAAAAAACTTGCTAATCTTGTTCTTGTATACTTTGTTGCACACTAATGCAGTCTAGCCTGGCTTTGTCACTTTGGCAAGGACAGAAGGAGATCTGAGTACACATTTGGATGCACAGAGGCACGTTGTGTTTCCCTTTTGCCTCTAGTCCTTCAGTCACGTTAAGATCAACTCTGCAGAGTAACTAACATTCAGGAGTGGCTTGATGTGAACGTGGGGGCTGACAGGGATTGTGTACACAGAGCAGCATGTAGAACCCCTTTGGATCTAGGATAATCAAGTAAAAGGTCAGATCTGTGGGGCTTAAGGTTACATCCCTGAATTCAACTGGAATCAATAGAACATGCTGGTGGTTATCTTTCTTTTGTGCAATCCCATTCAGGTTTTGAGCAGCAACAGAAGACAAAGAGTACAACGTGTCCCCTAGTGGGTGTCAGGGCTTCTTCCGCGAATGCAGAGTGCATGGACAGGCAAGGGCAGTCAAGGGTGGCCCAGTGGACTGGGCACCGTGTCCACCTCCACGGCACCAAGCATGTGGGGTACCTTCTCCATTTCCCCAGCACAAATCCCTTCCCACTCTGAAACAGGAATGATGGTGCCTTCCCGGATAAGGTGCCTGTGAGGGCAAAAATGATAACAAGGTGAGAGTGCTTTGTAGCAGAAGCACACTGATGCTTGAGATATCATCCAAAGCAATTGTCAGAGAGCAACCTTGACGTGTGAAGTCTCTGTTTTTCCACTCAGTGTTTTCATCGGTCATCAAAGCACGTGCTGCTTGCCTGCCTGGCCACTAGTCCCCCGCTCCTCTCCAATCCTCTCCTCACCTCGCCTCACCCACACATGCATGATGGCCTAGTCAAGATGTAACACAGAACAGATGTGATAAAGGGAAACTTTGTCATAACCTTGCCGTGTTTTTGTGTTACTCATCACATGGCAGGACTAGCTGCACAATCCCATACACTTACAGGGGCTTCCAGAGTTTAATGTCTAAGCATGCACACCAGCTTCTTCCTGTGACTAACTGTCACTCTTGGATCCTGCTTTGTAGGACTCCCCTGATTGCTGCTGGAGTGATTGGAGGACTCTTCATCATCGTGATTTTGGGCTTGACGTTTGCCGTTTATGTGAGACGCAAGAGCATCAAAAAAAAGAGGGCCTTGCGGAGGTTCCTGGAGACTGAGGTGAAGTTTCTTTCTTTCACACACAGAACCCCCTTAAAAAGTCACATCTATCTTTCTTTTCTTGACTTTTTTTTCTGCTGTGCAAAGAGCATATGTTAGGAATTTTCTATATAATTTGGACAGTCATAACATATCTGTTGATAGCAGGATGCTGAGCCAGACCAAAACTTTGGGAATCAGTCATTTCTGTTTTGGTATCCAGTTCTGTACAAAAAGTGGCTACTTCAGCTGGTCCAGAATGCTGCAGACAGTTGACTACAGATGGCTACAGAGAGCATCTCACTCTTGTCCATTGGCTGCTGGTCTGCTTCTGAGCAGAAATCAAGCTGCTGGTTATGACTCATACGTTAAGGTCCTTTGCAGCTGAGATCCTCTCAGTCCATAAGATCATTCACAGAGGCCCAAGGGAGACTGCACTCACCCCTGCTCTGTGCCTTTTGCAAGAAGGCTTTTAGTGTATGAGCAAGTCTGTTGGCTGGATGCTGCTTTTGTTTTGTTAGTGTTATATTTGTATTGCATTTTACCACATGTTTTTGTTTTATTCTGTGTTGTGTGTTGCTCTGAGTGCCACCCTTTGGTGGGATGGATGGATGTATCTTTCCATTCTTTCCCGTCATTCATGTCTTTCCCACCCACTGTACTTTTGCCATGCATATGCACATGGATATACTGATGAAACATTCCGTGAAAGGGGCATGATAAAGTTAAGTTCCACTGATTTCAGTGGATCCACTCTAAGTAAGATTAAGTCTAATTCCAGTCCTTTGTCATGCTGATTCCTTAAACCAAGAATGAATGTGAATGTCCAACATAATGTCTTAATGTGATTTCCCCATATTTGCAGTTTGGGCTGCGTTTTATATGTGCCTGTGTTTTAATAATATACAAGGGGAACTGAAAGAGCCAAAGGTGTGGCAAATACCCCATGCATGGATTCCACAATGAATATTAGAACTTTTTGTAAGTTAAACCAGAAAGAAGTTGGGGTCTTCCTATTCTGTGGAATTAGGAAAATTCATTAATCACTAGCATATTTGGACCCAAGATTATTCAGTATAAATTTTCCTGACCTGCCGCAACCACACAATTCTCAATGTTAACCTCAGATTCTGAGACAAACACCCATCCCTGCCACTTGCCCTAAACAAATAATCAAGGGCAGTCAAATTGCTTAATTGTACACTCATTCAAGACAATGAAAAGACACACTTCCCCCTACCTCCCCAGCAATGAATCGAAATGACCGAAAATAGCTGTCCAGAGAAATCACTAACCAGAGATTGCCATCACCGTGCTTTGCACCCGTTATATGATGCATCTGAGCCTCCGAGTGCAGAGCCTTTTGTGCATCTGTTGCAGGAAAAATAGGATTGTGTCCACAGTGACTGAAGTAATGTGCCTGCTCACTCCAGAGCACGAGTAATCAGTAAGAAAATAGCTGAACGCTGGGACAAACCATGCAAGTGCAACAAATGGGGCAGAGAGTAGAAATTAAAAGTGGAACAGTTGCAGTAGTGCTGTTTGACAAGAGTAAAAAAAAATTGGGAAATTTCAGATCTCCAAATCTGGGGAGAATGGCAGTAATAGTTAATCTGTAAGATTTCTGAAAGTTCATCTGGCTTTTCATGACTGAGAATAGAAAGACATGGTTAGGTAGATGTTTAATTTATTTTAGGTTTGTATGGTTTTCATATTTATGGATTATGTATCCATTAATATGAACCAATTTACCCATATTTATTTGGAGTGGATTGCAAAGGAGGAGGGGGGAGAATATGAACTATCAGTTTTTGTAAATATCATGTGTACCCTTTACTCCTCATGCATCTATTTCATATTTGACATACGTCTGGGTACTTGAAAGTTAACAAAGGGAAACAGAGTGTAAAAATTATTGTGTACGTCTATTGCTTCTCTCTCTGCTGTTTGTTTATGTCCTAGATTAATAAAGTAATTCCCAGTTCCCGATAGCTTTGCCTGCACGGTGTAGTCTGTATTCAACTAATTAAGTAGTCTGCAGTGTTCACAGAGGCATGATAATGGTGCTCAAAAGGCAACACATGGAGCATTTAGTCCTGCAAACAGACACTTTGAAGCACTGCAGCAGTTTCAACCCAATTTGAGCAGGAGTAGCCCTTAATTATTTTCCTTATCCTAAGAGAAGACAGGCTATTTGTCAGTGTTTAGAGGCTAGTCTTTTCTCATTTACTTTTACAGAAACATATATTTCCAATCAAAAGTTGGGCACAGCTCTAACCAGTTGATGTTCTTTTGACTGAATTCCATTCACGTGTTTTGCTGGATTACAGTTCATGGCTCAGGACACAGAAGTGTAACTGATTATTGACAATTACTTGCAATTACTAAACCCTAGATTTAGTGCAGAGCTACTCCCCCCATCCCCCACAATGTCCTTTTGAGATTATCCAAACCTTGGACCTTGTCCCCAAAAGAGAATAGCTAGTGACTGAGTGATTAAATTTTAATGTGTTATCTTCTGGCTCTGGAGGCAGTCTCAAGCAGCACCCAGGGGGTGGGATGGGGCTGTTTTTACAAGTCCTCAGAGATGTCTTAATGCTTTAAAACACTCTTGGCAATAGGTATCTGCCCCACACAACTTTATGGCATGGGTTGTTTTAATCTGTTCTTCAGAAATAATAAGTCACACTCCTTGAGGTTGAAAAGCCGTTATTGTGTAATGATGTATGCATGAAAGTTTGCCATCCCCATAGAAAGAGAGTCCCCACCCAAGTGCCTGTGACCAGCCCCCCTGCCCCCCCCAGTGGTATTGCACTGGCAACAGGAAGCAGAATCCAGAATGCACTGCATATGTGGATGGGGGGTGTGGCTGCTTATGGGATCTGCCAGTGGAAATTTTCATTGAGGGCTGCTTTACAGACCGCTAACTCAGGCTTGCTCAGAACCAGCCGGCCTGGCTTCCATGAGCATGGACACTCTGAGTTTGCAAGCCAGACAGCCTTCTGTTACATGTCAGGGTGCTCTTGGATCTCTGCAATCTTGGTTAAATCTCATTTCTATATAATCAAAACATTGTTGAGAATATTTATACAGTGATATATTTTATAAAGAAAGAAAAGCACTTACTTCTTTTCATTTATTACATTTATATGCTGACCAAAGGTCAAAAGCCCTCTGGGTAGTTTATAAAGATTAAAACCCTAAAATACATATTATAAAACCAATGTACAAATATCTAGCAATTTTAAAATGTCAGTCAGCAGTAAATCCCTTGACTCACCCCACCCTGATGCTGCCAAATGCCTGGGAGCCGATGAAAGCCATACCATGGCACAGCAAGGGGAGCCATGCTCGTGCCAGACGGCCACTGAAGAGTCTCCTCCCTCTGAGGAGTGGGGTCTCTGAGGCAACCCCAGGGGCCTGGTCCAGCCGAGACAGCCTACTTTAGCTTCCAGGCTCCCCATGAAGAAGCAGGGTTACAGCTGTGAAATGCTTTATTGGCCACAAATAGGATGTGGGTGCAAATCCGGGATAAGTAGGCAAAGCAAGGCTTGCACTCACCTCCCTTTTGATCGCAGGGCTTCCATGTATCATGCCCATGACCCTGGGGGCACCAAGTGGCCTGGACACTGTGCACCCCTGGCTCCACATGGAAAGCTGATTCTGTCCAGGTGTGTTCGGGGTCCTATAAAGGCCTCTCTGAATCACGGAAAGCACCTGGAGTTGTCAGGAGGTAGGGGAAAGGAGGGAAGGGGAAATGACTGGGCTGTCCCAGCTTATCCTTAGCTATGTGCTGACCAGTTCTCAAAGGCTGGTACCTGTTCATCCACTGAGGTCTTTAGCAGATTCTAGGGAACACAAGTCTGAAAGCTTCGGCTGCCTAATGCGTCTGACTTAGAGGACTGCACTGAAGGCTATGAGCATTTCACACTAACTCCTCATTACCAGGAGATCTTGTGGTTACTCTTAATACAGCTTCAGATGATGAGCTTGCTTATTTATTTATTGGTTGGTTGGTTGGTTGCATTTATATGTTGCCCCACAGCCCTGAGGCTCTCTGAGCAGTTTACAATAAAACACCTAAATCAATATAAATGCAATATAAAAATACTGTACCAAAAAGATAGGAAAACCAGCAGTACAAAGAGGAAAGTTCAGTTAAAAAGACAAGCAGCAGTGCTAAACAGTGCTAAGCACAGTTTTTAAAAAGAGTGCTAAAAAACCAAGTTAGCCACTAAACACCTGTTTGAATAAAAAGGATATTACCTGATGCCTAAAAGGGATCACTAATGGAGCCAGGCACACTTCCCTGGGGAGCATGTTCCAGGGAAGTTGAACATGTGGATATGTTCCAACTCACAGACATCTGGAACGTATCTTTTAATTTACATAATTGCTTACTTATTTTCAGTAACAGGTTGATCTAGGATAGAATCTAAACCCCAGACAAGCAATGAATGATTAGAACCAGGTGGATGTGTACTGCTTTTGGACTGATTGTGCAACTCTGAATTTTTAAGAAAGCAAAAATAAAATATTAAATCCAGTTCAATTGTCAAACTTAGAAAAACAGATTTTAATATTAAAAAACCCACCCTTTTTAGCCATTCTTTTTGTTCTTAAAATTTTTATTCTGTAGAATGGTTTCTACAAAGTGTTTGTAGCATGAGGGATGACAGCATATCGCTGTGGAATGGTTTGAAGTCACACATTAAAGTTCAGTCTTTCTCATGCCAGTAAGTGAATTTTAAATACTTCAGGATTTTACTTCAGATTATTTGTTTATTATTATTTTATAGGGTACAATCCAGCCAGAGGTAAGCACATTTCAATCTTATTTATTTCATTAGAGATCACAAGCACATCCATTGGAAAGCCTAAACTTAACTACATTTAGTTTTCCCCACAGAAATTAATCCAATTTAGTTGCTCTAACATTCCCTACGTTGAACTTCTAGTAAATAAAAACAAAAAAGCATTTCAGATTCGGTGATCAGCATGACAGAGACAGCAATGTGTGGCTTCACAAAATTCTTTAGCATTACCATAGAAGCTGATTTTAACTAACCAAGTCTTCAAAAGGGTTCTTTTCTCTGCCTCTTATTTTCCACCTGGCCTGCAATAAAAACCAACTTCCTTTTACAGCTGGTGGAGCCTTTGACCCCGAGCGGCACTGCACCCAACCAGGCGCAACTCCGCATTCTGAAGGAAACTGAGCTAAAGCGTGTCAAGGTCCTTGGATCTGGGGCCTTTGGAACGGTGTACAAGGTACCTTTCTTCAACACACGACATCCAACATGTTTCTGTGCTGACACTGTGGTCAAGGCAGGAGAGCAGTTATGTATTCAGAGTGTTCCAAGAACAGCCTTCCTTTGATTTGCCAAATAACATTAATTCTGCAATCCACTAGCTGGTTTTGTGTCGAGGCCTTCTGTGTTCAGAACAGTGTTGCTCAGAGATGTATTTTAGTCAGAAAGTGGATCCAAAGGTTCATTTATCTCAAGGTAGCTGAGATGTGTAGCAATATTTGTAGATAGACAGACAGACAGATTAATAGATAGAATGCAGTTGACTTTATATAGATATTTGTAGATAGATGGATAGTTAGAGAGCGAGAGAGAGAATGAGAGAAAATGCAGTTGTTTTATTTTCCTCCACTTTTTCATTAATTCAGGGTGTTTGGGTTCCTGAGGGAGAAAGTGTGAAGATTCCTGTGGCTATTAAAATCCTGAATGAGACAACTGGTCCAAAAGCCAATGTGGAGTTCATGGATGTAAGTAATGGATAACCAGTTTCATTTATGCATTTTCCACATGAGTTGTTAGTGGTGATGGACACATTTACCTGTGGTAAGTTCAGTATATCCTTGGATAGTATAAGCTCAAGTAGTTCTCCATTAAAATGAACCTTGTTCTGGGTAACTATGCAAGACCTGGGGCTCCAGCCTCTCCCATGACTGTCTCCACTCTGCTCGGCAGCTGGAGGATTGTGCCCTTGTACGCATTGTCCCATTAGCTTTGCAAGGAATTAGGTCACTGCTCCATGAACTGGTGCTTGTGTTTAAAGCCTGAGCAGGGCATAGCCACTATCATCCATATGTCACTTAAACATTCTGTAGATTGCACTGTCTCCCATAATTAGTTTTCTTTTTTTTCTTGGAGTGCATTTGAAAATAATAGTATATTTTTATCCAAGCTGAACTGAACTGAAATGCTCCTCATCCCTGGAATTTGTCTGTACAGACCTTTAGAAGTGGTAATGGTGTGAAGTGCCACTTTCTGTTGGGTAGGGCCTATCGGTTTCTTTGCCATGCACTGGGGCAGTGCAGGACATAGAGAGACAAGTGGGATATAAATGGATCAATGCCCATCATGGTCAGACCAAGCACAAGTACGAAATTGCCACTGCATAGCAGTGAGGGTGGCAAAGAAGCATGTTTCACTGCAGTGCTTCATCTTGGTGTTGCCCAGTGTTCATTTTCAGGGCCTCCTGCAATCTGGCCCCATAGGGTCATTTCTTGGTTACATCTATTGTGGTCCCTAAACCTGACAAAGATGATGCCAGCATAAAAGGCAGACATGCCCTTTTCTTTCACTGAGCAGGAGCCTTTATTATTCGCCATAATTTTATTATTTATTTACAACATTTATATCCCATCCAATACCAAGGGACACAGGATGGCCCTAACCCTGGACAAGTGATGCTCGCTTTTGGTTCTTTCTCTTAAGACTTTTGGAAACTGCTGTCAACTCAAAGCTACTAGGTTGTGAAATGAAACTGAATGGAAGGACCGTGAGTAAACAATAGCCCAGGTTCCCTCTCCATTTCTGGGCACAGTTTTTTTTTTTTTTTTT